ATACATAAAGGTTAAAGTTTACTTGTGAAAGTATAGGAAGACATACATAAAGGTTAAGTTAACTTGTGAAAGTATAGGAAGATGTACATAAAGGTTAAAGTTTACTTGTGAAAGTATAGGAAGACATACATAATGGTTATAGTTTACTTGTGAAAGTATAGGAAGACATACATAAAGGTTAAAGTTTATTGGAGAAAGTATAGGAAGATGTACATAAAGGTTAAAGTTTATTGGAGAAAGTATAGGAAGACATACATAAAGGTTAAAGTTTATTGGAGAAAGTATAGGAAGATGTACATAAAGGTTAAAGTTTATTGGAGAAAGTATAGGAAGATGTACATAAAGGTTAAAGTGTATTGGAGAGAGTATAGGAAGACATACATAAAGGTTAAAGTTTATTAGAGAAAGTATAGGAAGATGTACATAAAGGTTAAAGTTTATTAGAGAAAGTATAGGAAGACATGTAATGATTATTTTTTATATCTATAAATTACAGGTTATGTTCATCCACTCATCTCTTCTTGAAGGAAATAAGACTTACATTTTGTTATTGTTAGACTATATTATAGTATTATACTATCTGTAGAGTGTCTGTCCTTCTGTGAAAAATATATGACTTGGTGGTATCATTTTCTTTGTTATTAATCAGTGATTTTGATAAATTACTTAGCTACGTTATTGCAAGGGTATTTTGATGAAAGTGTCTTTCTAGTTAATATAGTATGTGTGTTAAAGTAACTAAAGCATAGTGGCAGGAATTTCACGTATATTTCTTAAAGATAAGTGATCACATCAGTATAATAACAACAACAAAAAAGCTGCCATAACTATTTAGAGCCAATATAAATAAAAGAACATAACATTGGTCATGTTTAGTGAGTTGAAGAAAGTTAACAAACTTCAATAACAAAGAAGCAGCTCTATTTTCTAGAAACTAGTTTTTTGTGTGGTTTATTTTATGTTTGAAAGTCAGTAGTGCCACCTTCATAGTTAGTTTATTCATGATGAATCATATAACTAGCAGTTAAACTTGATGTATATTTCATTTGTTTCTAGTTGGAAACCAAACCACCCATTTAACAATGTTTTTGGTGCTTTCAGTATTTTTAGAAATATCTTTTACTTGAAGTTGGTTTGTGACTAAATATAAATTTTTTTCTAAATTTATAGAAATTGGTGAAATCAGTATATTTAGATATTTCTGTAAAATAATTTACAGTTCAGTCTTCATAAGTTATTTAAGCAGCATGTTTTAGTTGTTCTTCTAGACATCAGGTGTAAAAAAGGTGTTGGTCATTTTTGTTGAAAGTTGAGAAACAGTCATTTGGCAGATTTGGGGCATGTGAGAATAATCAAGGTTGTGTTCAGTGTTTTGACAACTGTGAAAGATAGCTAAGGTATTGGTCACTTGTTGATAGTTGTAAAAAAAATATGATGGTCACTTACATTGATAGTTGTGAAACAGTCAAACTGGTCTTCAGGCTCGCTGGTAGTTGTGAAAACAGTCAAGATGATGATAATGGTCACTTACGTTGATAGTTGTGAAACAGTCAAACTGGTCTTCAGGCTTGTTGGTAGTTGTGAAAACAGTCAAGATGATGATAATGGTCACTTACGTTGATAGTTGTGAAACAGTCAAACTGGTCTTCAGGCTTTCTGGTAGTTGTGAAAACAGTCAAGACGATGATAATTCTTGTTGACAGTTGTAAAATTTTCTGTCAAAACGATGGTAATTTTGGATGACAGTTAAACAAGCATTATTCAAAGTGATGGTCATGTTTGTTTGCAGTTGTAAAACCAGATAATTAAGATGATGGGTACTTTTATCGACATTTATAGAATCAGTGAGTTATGATGATGGTCATGTTTGTTTGCAGTTGAAAAACCAGTTCTTTAAGATGATAGGTACTTTTATTGACATTTATAGAATCAGTCAGTTATGATGATGGTCATGTTTTTTTGCAGTTGAAAAACCAGTCAATTAAGATGATGATCACTTTTATTGACATATATAGAATCAGTCAGTTATGATGATGGTCATGTATGTTTGCAGTTGAAAAACCAGTCAATTAAGATGATGGGTACCTTTATTAACATTTATAGAATCAGTCAGTTAAGATGATGGTCATGTTTGTTTGCAGTTGAAAAACCAGTCAATTAAGATTATGTTCACTTTTGCTGACAATTGGGAAAACGATCATCGTTTTCTTGTCTGTACTTGATACTTGGAAGCTGAAACTTTGGCAGCCATAGCAACAATTATATCTTCAAATTTTATTTATAACCTCAAGTGTTTTGTGTTTTAAACTTATTCTATAGAAATATTTTATTTCTTTTTTACATTTTTCAATCCAGAAGTGTACATGTGAGTATTGAGGCCATCTTTCTAAATCAAGGTCACGGGTAATGGAATTGGGATCAGGTGTACATAATTAAGTATATTAATTTTTGTATGTCTCTATGGTTGAAATTTAAACCAACCACACGCTCCATTTTGAGGGTTTGTCCCTCAGTATGTCCACCTTCCATATAGTCATGCATATCCTTTTGTCTGCTTTGTTAGATTGGTCACGTGTATTTCCTTTTCTTTTTAACCGATGCAAGGTGTTCAACAATAATAAATTATTTTTCGTGGGACCTATTGTGTGTTCTTTTCGGTGTTAAGCCAACATTTTTATAGCGAATTTACAACTTGTATACACAACATATTTGACAAAAAGGAATATAGTAATATTGCATATTTCTTTTAATTTAAAAAAGCAAGTTTCATGATTAGTGTTTAAATTGCTGTTACAAATCTTGCAACTCTCAACTCAAATAATATTCAAGTATTCCAAATTGTGAAAGGATACAAGTGTGTGTATGTATATACTGGTCAAAATGAATTAGGGATCATCAAATTGTTAGTAAATATATCTGAAAAAACTAAATTATAAACAGAAACTATTAAATGAAATTGAAATTTATTGTTTCTGAGACGATACCTCACACAGAATAGCTATATCCCTCTCGTGACTGCCTGTAAGACTTGAATTTAATGTATCCTGCTTTTGTCTATTAACATTTTACTACACTATGTGTCTGTTATTATGTAGGGATGATGTCATCCGTACTGTCTTGTTTACATTGTGTTTGAAGGATTGATATTAGCCATCCCTACATTTACTTCCGTTTTTGAAAAGTTTTTCTTTACTTGTAAAAGTAGTCCTAGAATACCTAGAACGTTCCGGAACACTAGTAAGAGAGACTTTATGAAGTGTCTAGAAACAAGGCTACATTATAGATACGAAAATCAGTGAAACATTGAGTAATTTTTCAGTTAGTAGATTGCCAGTCGAAGTGAAGTATTCAGATCAGTGTTAGTTATCGTGAAATTGTACAATTTTATTTTTACTTTAATCCTAGTATCATAAGTAAGTAAATTTCAGTTGAAAGTGCGAATGACAATTGATGAACTCGGGCCTACAAGTAAAACTGTTGACAAGTGATAATATTAGTAGCAAAAATTAAGGCTTAATTTATTTTGAATTTCGCAAAAAGCTACACGAATATTATCTGCGTTAGCGGTTCCTAATTTAGCAGTGATAGATTAGTTAGAAGTTAATACCACCCACCGCCAACTCTTGGGCTACTCTTTTACAAACAAATAGTGGGACTGACCTTCACTTGTAACGGCCGAAAGGGCGAGCATGTTCGGTGACGGGGATTCGAACCCGCAGATTGCGAGTCGAGCACCTTAAGCACCAGGCCTAAACGTTAAGGAAGAAATAAGCTTTTTTATAGTTACGTGAAATGTACTTCGTAATAATTTCACCAAATAATTTCAAAGAACCAGTGAAACGAAAGAACAACGTTAGAACAACATATATATATACCAGTTTATAATCTCGTCCACGGACTTACAATGCTAAAATCCGGGGTTCGATTCCCCGCGTTAGACACCGTAGATAGTCCAATGTGGCTTTGCTAAAAAACAATTATAATCATGTGTGTTGATTCCTGAAATACAGACATCAATCACTATAAACTAGCTGTTTATTATATTTTTATTTATACACTACGTTACAGTTTAATAGCTGAAATCGTAGTCTACAACACCGCAAGTTTAACGGTTGTGTGAAAAAGCGAAGTTATAAAAGTTGGACATTGCTCAAGCTCTGACCAAATTTTAAACGAGACGCGATGCTTTGACCAAAAAACAAAACGACGATCGAAGTAATAGGATCCTCTACAAATTTGTTTCTTCAGAGGTCACTTTACGTATTTAACGGTGGATCTATCTGAATAAAACTTAACACAAACATGTGTTATCAAATTGAATAGGTCTATACAGAAATCGTGGTGTTTATTTAACAACTCTTATGTCCGATAACAGAGTAGTTTGTTTTACTATTCTTTAATAAAACATAAAAAAAAAATCCCAATATTTTGATCAGACATTCATGGCAGAATATTTACACTAAAGTACACCTGTCATGAGACTTTAAGATAAAAACTAAAATAATAATAATATATGTTTGTTAGTGAATTGAGATAAACAAATTTGGGCAATGAGTTGACAGTTAACTCGAACTTTGGTGGACGGATGATCTGGTTATTTTGGAAATAAACTTTTAATTTAAAAACTGGTCACACGAATGGTTGGAAGCAAAGGACTTTTGGAACCGCTAACGTGGAACTCCTCGATGTCATCATCCAATGTCTCGTGCAGAGCAGCGTGCTTGTCTTCCGTTAACAGACTCAAAGGCGACCGAGGGCTGCTCAGCGATGAAGCGGAAGCGACATCGGTTGACGTAAATTTATATTCATCAAAGGCCTGACGAGTAGTGGGAGTGTCAGGGGGAAGCCAAATCGGACCGTTGTCTTTTGTCACAGGCAAGCTAAATAAACAAAATATAAATAGGTCTTGAGTAGCGCACACACACACACACATATATATTACTAACAAATTGAACTTAAACATAAAGTCATCTAGACCCAAATTATTAACGAGGTATTATTGTTAATAGCGAACACAATTTCCAAATCTTTCTTGAACACTGATGCTAATTATCTACCTCTGAAAGGTGTGGTAAGTACAGATATCTTTAATATGTATGTGGGTCGCCAGGATTTTCTTAGGAGGGTTCATTTCTGTTCGTGACTGTAACGAATTTATTGTTATGTATTCATTTTAATATGAATGTTGTTTAGATTAAGTTTATTTAGAAACATTCATAGCTTATACTCAAACAAATCGAGCATGAAGAAGCTCGTATGGAAGCTGAAAGAAAAAATAAACACCTCGAGGCCGAACAAGCACGTATCGAAGCCGAGAAAGAACAAGCTCGAATTGAAGCCGAGAAAGAACAAGCTTGTATTGAGGCCGAGAAAGAACAAGCTCGTATTGAAGATGAAAGAGAAAATAAACGTCTCGAAGCCGAAAAAGAAATTAGGCTGAAAGAAATGGAAATTAGACTTAACACTGATCGACCAAGGCAAAATGATAACTTTAAACTTAATCTACATTTGAAAGTACCACCATTCATGAAAATGAAGTTGATAAATATTTCCAACATTTTGAGAAGGTTGCCCAAATCATGGAGTGGCCCACCGAAAAATGGCCATTATTATTACACAGTGTCTTAACTGGTAAAGCAT